AATCATTAAAGTACAGATTTCAAAATGTTTGTCTTTTCTTACCTAATATAAAATGGTTTTATTCTTATATCATAACTTTTAATGACTATATTAAGATATTGTGTAGATAATGATACTTCTTCATTTGTTTCTTGTAAATGTATATCATGTGCATCAACTAATTCAACACGTACATTTGATTGTTGTGCTATATTAACATGATACATTGAACATTTTAATATCCATGAATCAAGTACATAACAACGAACATTTGATGTTGCTGTACCACATGTAAATTTATCAAATCGACGAAATTCAGTATTTATTGATGATTCAACTGTATGCCATGTTTGTTCTTGTTGTTGATTATTTATTTGAATAAATAAACGTAATTGTCGAACAATTGGATGCATATAACAATCATTTAAATGCCATTGTAAAACAATTAATGATGTAATAATAGGAATAAGAAGACAAATATATAAAATAAATCGAAGAATTATTGAAGTTTGAGTAAAAAGATTAATAAAAACATTAATAATGCCTAATGACCAATCACAATAATAGAGTAATATAAATACATAACCCAATGAAAGAAAGCTATGAATAATATATTTAATTGATATACGTTTTATATGATATCGTATAAAAGATATTTCTTCAGTTTCAACAAGAAAATAAGAAAAAATATTTTGTATAGAAAATCCAGCTGATGCAAGTTCACTTGGTGGTAAAATGATAATGAACACAATGAGACTATAAAGAAATGTTATTACATAAAGTTCTGATGTGTTAACATTATCTAAAAACGGGTATAACATTCCAAGATTTATCTACAAAAAAAAACACAAGAAATCAAACAGAAATAAATACAAACATCAATAAAATCACAAAGAAAAAACAATGTTTCAAAACGCATTCGTCTTAATAAATTTTAATCAACTGTTCATTTGTTACCGGTTGATGTGTTGTTGGACATCGATGATAACGTTTAACGTAATCGCTAATACATGTATAACAATAAACATAACCAGAGCCAAGTACTGCTGTCGGAACATTACATGGTTGTCGACAAAGAGGACATTGACGTTTACCAATTGTTGATTGTGTTCGAACAGTAGTTGGTAATGGTGGATTAATATTAGCATTAATAGAATTTTTCTTTGAACCATTTGTATTATTCCACCATTCGATAAATTGAACAAGAAATAAACCACTTGATATAATTTGACTGATTATGGAAAAAAATCGACTAGCATTAGTTGATGATGGAATGACAGGTGATGGATCTTTCGCATAGGTTAATTTAACACCGGCTAATTGAAGTTCTGGACTGTAATATTCAATTCTACCAAAAGCATAACCTATTCGATAAAGCCAACAAATACCTTCGATAAAAACCTTTTTTTGAGAAAGAAAAATAAAAAGCACAAAAGTTAATTCTTTTTATGGTTTATTGAAATGATGATATTTACTTGAATTTTAGGTAAAATTTGAAGTATCATATAAAATGTAGTATGACGATTATTATTATTATTATTATTATTGTTATTATTCATAGACATTTGTTCATGTAATGAATCAAGTTTTAGTTTAACATAAGGTAGAAATACAGAAAATATAAGTGAACGTAATCGATGATTTGCTGTTCGTTTTAATCCATAAAAATGTTCACCAATTAAAGCTGAATAGAAATGTAAATAAAGCCATTGAACAATACTTTCAATAAGTAATATAAATTCATCTTTGTATTTATAAAGAATTCGTAATGAATTAGATAATGGACGAATTTCATGTAAAAATTTAAAAATTTGTCGAAGACAAGGGCGAATTAAATCAGTTAAACGTTCTTGAGCAAGTAATTCGAATACACTTGGTAAAGGTGGTGAAATTATAGTTGAAGATGTAAAATTCAATGTTGATTGAATATTTGATGAAGTCATATTGATCGAATAAATAAAATTTCAAGATTTATTTGTGTATTTCCCACATGCGAACACGATAGTACAGATGGTAGATATGTCAGCATCAGATTTGTTACTTGATTTCATTCGCTATTGTCTTTTTCATTTGATAATAAGACATGTAGATGGTGCTAATACACAGTTAAAATTTATCCTTAAATTTATCTAATCATGTATAATTCAGTTGGAACAAGTCACCTATCTAATTTTAGAGAGCATAAACGTCTTAGACAGACTTTAGCATGTGCAAACTTTTAATTTCAATATGTTTTCAAAAATTACATTTGCATAAGCTTCAATCAATGTAAAAGTAACAACTGTTGTTAATGGTTATCAGTAATATATAGTTATCACAACAAAAAATAAAGTAATATACAAATAAAATGGTAGAAATATTTCTGATCTCATTGATTGGTTTTCCGCTGTTATATTAATCCATTAGGACAATCTTGAATTTTATTTTTGCAACATAGATTTCTTTGAATATTTATGTATTATTAATAGAATGAAAATATAGTCTCTGATTTTGTTGCGTAATGAAATCTTTTTTCATATTAAACTGAACAACATTTGTCTCTTTCTTTATTAGTTTATACAATTTTCATTATTAATAACCTTGAATCAAACAAATACACACTATTATTATATTGTTGAAATGTCGAAATAATAAAATTTTATCTTATAAACATAACCATTAAATAATAATAAATCAATAGGCTAGTTGTGTTGTTCTCTGTAGTATAAGACATTGTTGGTACCAGAACACGGTTGTTGTTCAAGAACTATCGTTTATATTGTTCTTTTTATTTAGAAAATTAAAACAAATTAGAATAATTTTCTTTTTAAACAATCACCTAAAGCTTACTGCTACACCCTTTCTAAACAAAAAAAAAAGAATACAAATGCAACTGCAAACATATGTATTAAAAAAAATCGAACGAACTAGATAAATGAAATAAATTTCATATACTGTTTAATAGATAAAAGAAGATATTGCTCGATAGATCTGATTTAATCTTTTAATCATATCACTGTTTTGTAGGATCATTGTGTAACAAAGATTAATACAGGATAAGGAAGATCTTTATTTCCAGTGTAAAGAAGAATATAAATAAACAACAAGATGTTACAATGGGATATAGTTCTCTAATACATTGTTTTTTATGTATCCAGCATTTCTGAGAAGATCTACAAATTAATATTGAACATTAAATAATATAAAACAATAGGAAACTCCTTCATATTTCACTAATAACAAACGATAGAGCCTTTACAATATCATTATAATGATAATAACAAAGCAAAAGACGACAAAAAGTGATTCTGATGTAGCATGCCTTATTTTGACCAACTGTCAACTTCGATACACTTACCGTTTTATCCTAACACAAAGTCTTTATTGAATCATGTTTTCCTAAAAATTAGAAGATTAACATGTTCTCGAGAAGAAAATCTATAATGAAGTCTTACTTGACCCTTGCATATTACTTTCATTAGTTGGCTAACAAAATATTTCATTTTCATTGAAATGAGAGCATCATCAAATGATTGACGTATTCTTGTTTTGGTACAAATATCATCAGAGTGTATGCTGGTAGAAATCTTGAACGAATATTTCTGTTCATGATAAGCCTTGCATTCATACAAAAGAAATATTACGATTTATGACTGTAAATATCTGTCTATGGATTGCTGATATGAAATATATATGAAACATGATATGACTACTACACAACGTTTAATAAAAGGTGAAGTTGAGTTTAATAACGGTCAATATTAATTGCCTTCTGTTAATATACATAAGTTTTCAGTATAACCTAAATATCGAGTTTGATTGATTTGACAATATGTAATAAGAAGAGAAAATAGATTTGCTTTCACATCATACATGAAGAGTTTATATTCAAACGAATTTGTGAGATTAGTTTGATGGTAATCAGAAAGAAAAACATTATATAGCATATGAACACGAAACTACAATTACGAATATTTTTCTAACTGATATGATCCTTAGTCAAATGCTGATTTTGTTCATATTTGTGAATAGTAGAGATCTGCGGGACCGTTCTGCACCATCATTCATGATTACGCTAATCGCACGTGTTTTTCTGGAATGTCCAAAACTGTAGGATGGCATAGCATGTGCTCGATGCAGGTTTGCACAATATTATATGTGCGTACACAAGAGTGCGGGACTGTACTACAGAGTTCAGATACATATATATATGAGAGAATCGTATTTTTGTTGTACAATCATATTTTAG